AATGGATGTTTGTGCCTTAACTGCTTTGAATGCGGTTTTGGTGTTGCTTTTGTTTACTGTTTTTCATGATGGTAGGTCTAATTTTTTAGATTCGGATCCCTGCCTTGAGCCAAGGGGTTGGACTGGATGGCCTTATGGGCTCCCTTCCGATGTCATTTTTTCTAGGATTCTACAGAATTTGTTCAATCCTTTGTAGTGTGTGTATGCTCACTGTTGTCAGGTTTAAATACTGTCTTTTAATGATGTGTTCTGCCTTCGGTGGAGGAAAAAGATTATTAATTAATTTATTTATAAGTCAGGAAATCTATTTGAGGGTGGCATGCATAGTTCTAATTGCTACACCAGTGGCTCCCAGCCTTGGGTCCCCAGATGTTCTTGGATGAAAACTCCCAGAAGCCTTCAGTACCAGCTGTGCGGGCCAGGATTTCTGGCAGTTCTAGTCCAAGAACACCGGGATGACCCAAGATGGGGAAACGCTGTGTGACACCATACCTCTTTAGTTTTAACTTTTTTTAAAAGTTGCAAAGCCATCTTCGAAATGTGCAAACCCTCCTCCCCCAAATCTAGCGGTCTGTCCTTGGGCTGGTTTGCTCCCCTCTTTCTTACTCTCTCCATCTGGGGAAATTTCCTGTCCGTCCGTGCAAAAGTGAAACAAAAGGCATACATTGTCTTCTAGCATGAGCCAATGATTAGGATTTGCAAATCTATTCCCGTCTGGAGCACAAAGTTGTGTGAGATTCTATTGGGATCCACCCCAAAGCCTTGAATTGGACCCTGAATGGCTTTGGGGGGAGACACCTAGTCCTCTAACCCCCCCCCACAACCTTGTGACTTGTTTCCTTCACTTATCCGCTCTGCCTCTCTTTCTTCCCCTTTCTCGTCTGCAGGTCCAAAGTGAAAACGTTACATGAAAGAATCCCTTTAGCTGGACTTAGCAAACTCCCAAGTATTCCACAGATTGCAAAGGTACGTGGCTTTAAAAGATGCTGGCTCCACGAGTGATTTTCCACGTGGGTTCTTTCTCACCTCCCTGACGAGCGGAGAGGGGTCTTCAAACTTCTTGGATTGCAATTCCCACATGTCCACATTCTGAGAGTTCTCCTTGACTAACACACCTTAATGATCATCCTCATGCGCCGTCAAGTTGGTTCTGTCTTAGGGTGACCCTTCCTAGGGTTTTCCAGGGAGAGAATACTCCAAAGACGTTTTCCGTTGCCTTCTTCCGGGGGCGCCCTGGGTCTGCGGTGCAGCTTGCCCAAGGCCACCCAGGCTGGCTCTTTTCTCCCTGGAGAGAATTGAGCTCCCAACTGTCGGCTCCACAGCCAGATTCCTAAACCGCTCAGCTAGACACCTAAATGTGGCTCACCTTGGAGGAAGGCTTATACTGGAGGCTCTGAGGCTGAGCTGAACCTAATTTCACCCAAACTTTCCATTTCTGCCTCAGTGCTAGCTGGAAGCTTTCTTTCTGTGCAGGAAGCTAAAAAGCATACATACAATCTACTCCTGTACTGCAGCAAGTCCTGGACCCTTCGTGCACAGCAGGAGAGGAAGCTGAACACCTTCCATATGTGTTGCCTCCAACACATTTTCGGTATCTCCTGGCAGGATAAAGTTCCAAATAAAGTAGTCTTAGATCAAGCTGGAATTTTTAGCATGTAGACATGACTGAAACAGCGACGTCTACGTTGGCTCGGACATGTCGTGAGAATGGCTGATGGTCGGATTCCAAAAGATCTCCTGTATGGAGAATTAGTGCAGGGAAATTGCCCCAGAGGGAGACCACAGCTGCGATCCAAGGACATCTGCAAGTGGGATCTGAAGGCCTTAGGAATGGACCTTAACAGATGGGAAACCTTGTCCTCTGAGCGTTCAGCCTGGAGGCAGG